AGAGAGAGAGAGAGAGAGAGAGAGAGAGAGAGAGAGAGAGAGAGAGAGAGAGAATTTTTTAATATTTATTTTTTAGTTCTCGGTGGACACAACATCTTTGTATGTGGTGCTGAGGATCGAACCTGGGCCGCACGCATGCCAAGCGAGCGCGCTACCGCTTGAGCCACATCCCCAGCCCCAAGGATGTTTTTAATGTATGATTTATGATTAAAGTACCCTGACTCAAAATACAGTTATAATTATGTCTACAAAAATACTTTTAAGCTAGGCATGGTGGTGAAAGCCCATAATCCCATTAATTTGGGAAGTTGAGGCAGGAGGATTTCAAGTTTGAGGCCAGTCTCAGCAACTTAATGAGATCTTCTATCAAAATAAAATAAAAAAGAGCTGGAGTATAGCTCAGTGGTAGAGTACCCCTGGTTTAATTCCAGTACCACAAAAAACAAAAAATGAAAACAGAAAAATCACTTTGATTCTCAAAAATTATATTTTCAGATTATTAATAAACATATAAATTGTTTAGAATGCATATATATATGTACTTCATGTATTTGAATATTATGTTATGTAATTTTCTAGTAAAAATACTAGATTTGTAGCCAAATGATATATTATATGTCATATTATACAAACATGGCATGTATAAGATGTATGATTTTACATAATATAGATACTCCTCTACTTATGATAGGATTATGTCCAAATAAATCCATTGTACATTGAAGATATCATCAGTTGAAAAATGCATTTGTTTAGTAGATTTAACCTAGCAAGCATGGGAGCTGAGCCACACAATCTGCAGTCAATTAGCAGTTACTTCCCTTCTTGATCATGTGGCTGACTGGGAGCTATAGCTCAGGACTGCTGCCCATCATGAGAAAGTATCATCCTGCTTATTGCTAGCCAGGAAAGGATCAAAATCCAAATTAAAAGTATGATTTCTACTGAATGCACATCACTTTTGCATCATTGTAAAATAAAAAAAAATAGACATAAATCAAACCATTGTTAATTGGGGACCAAAGTTTATAATATATAATTTGTATATATAATTTGATTAAATATTATATACTACTCACTCTACAAACAGAGACAGTAGGAAGGCCATGTAGCATGACTACTGGAACCAACTCTATATGTTTCAGAGCACAGGTCTGCCCCTTGCTAGCTAATACAACTTTGGATGCTTCACTTAATTTTCTTAAGTCTTATTTTTCTCAACCTTATGGGGTGGGAAGAGAATTAATATATTTTGTATGAAATAAGGGAATACATACAAAATACTTAGTGGGGTGGCTGGCACTTGCTAAGCATATAATAGGTGGTAGAAAGACCATGAAAGGGTGGTTAGCAGCAGCAGTAAGCAGCCTTGTAAGTGTCCAGAAATCCCCTGGCTTGTCCCAATTCTAGTGGTCACGTTACACTTTTTGTAATATGTAATTTGGATTTCAAAAGCAAAGCATGGATTTAAAAATTCTAAAACAAGGAAAAATGATTTGAGGTTTTCAAACAAGCACTGGGTTGGTTAGTTTTTGAATAGTCAGGGTGGTGGGACATAAGAGAATGTAATAATCAATACAAGGAAGAGTTGTGAACACATCAATTTACTATGTGGTTTGTGATTACAGAGTCCTTATAGGATACTTTGTGTGGTGGGAGAATACTTACTTAAAGTTACTCTTCAATTTTAAAGAGTTCACATAAGGGTCAAGATGAACCAACATGAGAGCCACAACCTTAAAACTTCCCAAACATTATTTGGCTGAGACCTTTTCAGCCAACAGAATTCTGCACATGACTTGCCTCAGTTTTTCTGTCTGTACCCCTAGAAATGCTACTGAAGATGTTCTGAAACGTGTATCAGGGGGAAAAGTTCTGCTTACTTTGAATCTAAAAGTTGGTAGTCAGTTAGCATTTGGGACTTCCCCCTCCAGGTATTTAAGGAAGGAAAATGGGCTTCAGGAATCTTAGCAAATACTTCATCCATAAATAGGCCATTAAGCACTTAGTGTTTCATCTCACTAAGGATAAACTTAATAGTTGTGGAAAGAAAAAAAAAAACAAATAAAAGGAAAAATTTCTCTCTCAGGTTTATTGAGAGAAGATTTTTATTTGGTAAATTTAGGAAAGAGAAAGATTAAGAAATGCATGTATCAGGGTTCACATTTGATAATATTGTCATCACTAAATTTGTCTAGGGAGACAACATGCCACATTTAAATGATTACTGTGTACAGAGATTTCAAATTACTGTATATAAATTTAAACCTCTGTGTTTACACATGTGTACCAAACAGCTTTTTTTTTAACGTTGCCATATATAGCATTCTGATATTTCTTTGTATAAGGTTCTCAAAATACTAAAGCAACCCCAGCCCTAAATTACCCTTCCTTTTAAAGGAGATATCATTAACTTTCTTGGTGATGGGGAGCTAGATCAGGTGAGTGGCATGCCTTACATTCATAAAGTCAATGGCATCATTGCTGCAAAAATATGTAGAAAGTAGAGCTCCAATTCCATGAAGTTCAAAAATACTCTGGTATAATGGGTACATCTCATAATACTGAAAGGCAAATGGGAGATGCTTTAGTTGAACAACTATAAATCCTGAGTCTTTGAGGTAGATTAGAAACACATTTTCTGTGTGAATCAAAGAAGGCAGTATAAAAGAGAAAATAATTCTGTCCTTACCTAGCATATGCTGCATGCTATTTGCCAGTATAGATTATACCCTCATCCCTGAAGGATATTTTTACTAGATATAGAATTCTAGGCTGACAGATTCTTTTCTTTCTTCTCTTTAAAGAAATTCTTTCTCTGTATGTGGCCCTTGCTGTTTTTGTTGAGAAATCTATAGTCACTTAAAGGGTTGTTCCTCTGTAAAACTATAACCTTTTTACCTGACTTTTTACAACATTTTTTTTGTTTGTTTTTGTCTGTTTATTTTGACAGATCTAGGTTTTTGTGTATATGGGGTTTGGGGAGTTATTTGTTCTATTTGTGGTTTTTTGACTTTTTGCAACTGTAAATTTATCTTTTTGCCAAATTTGATAAAATTTTGGCCACTACTATTTCCATGTTTTGTTGTTGTTGTCATTGTTCTATTTTTACCTTTCTCTGTCTCTCTTCTGTCTCTGGACTTCAGTTATAACCAAGTCGTACCGTTTGAAAATACCCACAAGTCTCTGAGCTTCTTCTCCCCCAAACCCTGCAATCATTTTTCTCTCCATTCTTCAGATTAGATCATTTCTGTTGCTCTGTCTTCATGTTTACTAACTCTTATGCTTCTTCAAGTCTACTATTAACTTCATCCAGTAAAATTTAACATTTTAAGTGTTGAATTTTTCAGGTCAAAAATTTCCCCTTGGGCTGGGGATGTGGCTCAAGTGGTAGCGCGCTCGCCTGGCACGTATGCGGCACTGGGTTCGATCCTTTGCACCACATACAAAAAAAAGATGTTGTGTCCGCCGAAAACTAAAAAATAAATATTAAAATTCTCTCTCTCTCTCTCTTTAAAAAAAATCATACCTTATAGTTAAAAAAAAATAAATTAAAAAAAATTTCCCCTTGGTTTTTGTTTCAGTTTAACTTCTCTGCTGAGATTTTGTATCTTTTTATTCATTGCATACATATTTTCCCTTTTGTCCTAGATAATATTACAATGGCTGGTTTGAAATCCTTGTTTGCTAATTCCGTCATTGTAGGGTTCATCTCAATGGATTGTGATTTTTTTTTTTTTTTGATACCAGGGCTTGAACTAGGGGGCACTCAGCCACTGAGCCATATCCCCAGCCCTATTTTGTATTTTATTTATAAAGAGGGTCTCACTGAGTTGCTTAGTGCCTTGCTAAATTGCTGGGGCTGGCTTTGAACTGGCCTCCTGCCTCAGCTTCCTGAGCCACTGGGATTACAGGAGTGTGCCACCATGTCTAGCTGGATTGTGATTTCTTAGGATTGTGTTTTCCTAAACTTTTTTTTTTTTTTTTTGTATGCCAAAAGAGTTTTAAACTATATTCTTATCATCATGATGATGCACTGTAGAGACTGTGGTTTGTAATATGTTTATCTGAAGAATATTATATTTATAAACTCTCTTGCACTGGACAGCAGCTCAAGTCTAACTTGGATTTTTTTCATTTTAGTTCTGAGTGCTTATTATAGTCTGCCCTATACAAGTATAGCTAAAAGGCTAGTTGGAGATTTGAGAATTTCCTGTACTCCTTCCTTACCTTCCAGTTTTGCAGTTGTTCCAAGGTTTGTGCTCTAATTTTACAAACCATAAGTCAATTAGCTCCTTTCTGAATTTTAGCCACTTCATGGGTATATCCACATGGCAGCCTTCACTCAGGTAAACCAGATGTTTATAAAAATAGGAAACACAAATCACGCCATTGCCTCCATGCAAGTGTTGAATCCTCTCCAGGATCCTCCTGCTTCTGTCTGCTCCTCAGTGCCTTTCCTAGATTTGCTCAGATTTCACAGTTTAACCCACAGAAGGTCTTGTCTGATAGGAGTTTATTTGAACATGACAGGAAATAAAATGTCCACAGCAATATATATCCTCTATTTTTCAGACCAAGTTAGATAAGGCATAAAAGTAGAGTCATAATAGTATTTGTAAGGTGAAAATCTAGTCACACCCTTACCTATTCAGTGGGAATTTTAGTCGTCCTCAGTTATCTCCTAAAGTGTCCCAACTGGATGTTTTATTTATTATCTAATAATAATGTCTACCCTTCTC